CTCGTTTGTTGTCCTCTTCTCCCTCTCTGCCTACGGTTTACCGGGCAGTTCTATTTGACGATATATATATCGTCACAAACAGAACTGCCCGGTAAACCGTAGGCAGAGAGAGAGAAGAGGACAACAAACGAGGGGCTGTATATATCGTCAAACAGAGCTTCCCAGTAAACCGTAGGCAGAGAGGGAGAAGAGGACAACAAACGAGGGGCTGTGACAAACTGTTTCGTCGGAGTTTCACCGACTCATCAGGAGGCTGAACACAAAGTGTTTCGTCGGAGTTTCAGCGACTCATCAGGAGGCTGAACCCTCAACAGTCTGCAGAATCCCCTAACTGATTACACTGTAAGTGATAATCCACCTTAACCCCGGCTGTGGGCATCAACAACTGCCCGACAACTGATACCCTGAGGTGGGCACCACCAACCACTGCCCTCAAGGTCCTGTGACGAAAATCAAACCAGACTATGATCACTTACCCACACGAGATAGAAAACTCTACAGACTGTCGGTTCACACCCCATCACAAGCCAGCAAAACACCCACAGTAAACCGTAGGCCGAGAGGGAGCAGAGAGGGCGAAGAGGACAACAAACAAGGGGTTGTGACAAACATTTGGAGGCCGCACACCTCCACACTCACCCCGTCTTCCACGCATCAAAGTTGTTGCCTTGCGTCACCAGTCAGCAGTTCCCATCGTGTCGGTCAATGATTCGGCCGGACATGGATGGCGCATATGACAGACCGCATTGTGGAAGAGGACGAGTTCAGAACCGGAGGTAGGGGTCGTCCCCAAAAACAGAACGAAGTCAGGGTCGCTTAACAGGGACCCGAGGACGACCGCTGGTTCACAAGAACAGAGCTTCTAGAGACCGTTCTCGGCATAGTACACGCCTACGACACAGAGAAAAGAAAGGTGAAGGTCCTGCCTTGCATTGCAGTATTTTCGGAGGACCTCGAATATAGGCCAGCGGGAGTGAAACGGTTTTCACATTTACGGTAGCAGATGCAGTTTGCAGGGCTCGATCCCTAGGCCTCGCCCTCACCCATGTACAGTATCAGTTGACCCGTGCTTGAACCCGCAACCTGTGTCTTGAAAGCTGCATGTTTGCTTGCTGTAGGTAGTGTGGTCATCCGGTCTCAAACAGTACGTTTGTAGATTAGAAGTCTCGGCAGTGGTAGGGGTCGTGGCTGCTACAGTACCGAAAGGTCAACGTAGGTCGTAGCTGCTACCGGACCGAAGGGTCACATAGGTTAGACTAGGTCCTTCTAGAACAGTCTACTCTGTCCCTTCGTGAGTCATAGGTAGCAGTCCGTAGGCAAGTGGGCAAGTGGGCAGTCTAACCCAGCCCAGTCAGTGGAGGTGGAGTTCAAAGAAGAATGAGAAATTTAATGGTTTCAATCTGCCCTTGTTTTTTCTTTTTGTTTTTATTTTTATTTTTGCATGTTATCACTGTGCCCGTTTTTTGCTTTTATTCTTTGTTCCGCAAAGTGCGCTCTTTTAGTTTGTAGTTATGTGACAATATATATTTTGTCACAGCCCCTCGTTTGTTGTCCTCTTCTCCCTCTCTGCCTACGGTTTACCGGGCAGTTCTATTTGACGATATATA